GCATATTGCGCGTGGGACGGCGAAGTGGAGTGCAAGTGTGTCTTGACTCTGCGATTGAGGATCGCGTATGCTCCCAAACGACGACTTGTCGACCCCGAAGACAGCTTTGGAGTGGGCCACACGATTCTCCCAGAATGTGAATTCACATTTTCCCTTTTTCCAATATGTGAATTCACGTTTCCCTTTTTTCCCAACCTGTGCATTCACATTCTGGCCCCTTCACAAAGATTCTTACCCCAAATTCCAACATGTTCTTGTTCTTGTTTTCACATGTTCTTGTTTTCCAAAATGTGAATTCACACTTTCCTTTTCCCGAAATGTGAATTCACACATTGTTTTTCCGCACACTATGAATTCATATGTTGCCCTGGCCTTCAAGATCCCCAAAGCTGAGGCGCAGTGTTCCGCATGTCAGATTGGCTGGGCAGATTTTGACACTTACCTCACCGCTTTCGTTTATTCCAGCCTTTTCTTTTGCGCCCTCGGCACACGTTGCCTTTTCGTCGCCTTTCCCGAGCCCCCCGACCCCTTGCTGCGTTCGCCCGCAAGTCTCGCGCATGGGCGCAGGCGGGGAGCTTGAATTGGTTCCCCCGCCGAACACAGCAATCGAGGATGCAACGCCCATGCATGGCCCATAAAAACACCATTGCCGGGACCCTGCGCCCGACCCCCACGGCCGACAACGGCCAAGCACCGGCCGCTCCAATCTTGTTCGGACCGTCGGAACTCCGGGATGATCGGAGCCCAAAGCCCGCATAGCGGAGCGCCAGAAGGCTGTCGAAATGTCTTTCGAACAAGCTTTGGAAGCTCTTGGAAGGGGCTTCCGAAGGAGCTTCTGGAGAGCTTCCGGTCACACGTATTGGGAAACGCTTAGAAAAGGTCTCTCGGGACAGCTTTCCGGTTCAGGCAGGCTGCTGCGGGGTTCCTTCCGGAAGCGGAAACGAGCTCAGGGCTGCTCAGGCGGTGCCGCTTCAAATTTTCAACCCTCATCCCAATGATTGTTTCACAACGTCAGAGGTCTCAACCCCTTCCCCAAAACCGGTTTCTCATCCCGAGTTGTTTGACGCTCCCGGGGCCCGACAAGGGCCCAGTACGTAAGGCCGAAAATAACACAACAACCTCCCGTCGTGATCTTTTCGCAAAGCGAGGGGGTCTGGGTCAAGGGGCATGAGTTCGATCTGCTGGTGCACCGAACTGTTGCAAACAGATGCCCCCCGCATTCCCACCCATCGACAACCCGGGAGTTGCCGGCGGCTGGGGGGGCATCTGCTTTGGGTGCTCCGGTGCAAAAACCGATCGAACTTACACCCCCCCTGGGGCCCCCCCTTTGCGGGATCCCGACCCAGACATGCGACGTCCTGTTTTTTTCAGGACGGCGCCTCTGGAACCCAGAGATCCAACGCATTGAAAAAATCACGACAAAAGTGTTTCTCAATTTTCGGTCTCTCGGGGCCCTCGCCGGGCCCCAGGACCGACAAAAAACGACTCAGCATGAAAAGCCAGTCCTGGGGAATGGGTCGAGACTTCTGAGAGCCCCGTATTGAAAAAAACAAAAAAAACACGACAAGGGACCTCTGGGAGGCCCCGACCCTTTCCCTAACCAGCTTGTCGCCCCGAGCCATTTTTGACGGCCCCGGGGGCCGGCGAGCGCCCCTCGGGGCCGACCAAAAAAAAACGGCCCGATTTTTGGAAAACAGCGCCCCTGGAAGTCCCAACCCCTTTCCCCAGGACCGGCTTTTAGTCCCGAGTCGTCCTTTGACGGCCCCGGGGCCCGGCGAGGGCTCCTGGGGGCCGTTTTGTTGCTGCTGTTGTTGTTGTTGTTGCTGCTGTTGTTGTTGTTGTTGTTGTTGTTGTTTTTGTTGTTGTTGTTGTTGCTGCTGCTGTTGTTGTTGTTGTTGTTGTTTATGTTTATGTTTATGTTTATGTTTATGTTGTTGTTGTTGTTGTTGTTGTTGTTGTTGTTGTTGTTGTATTCTCATTTCTGAAGAATAATTATTGTTGATCCCCCCACCGGTGCATACTGTTTTTTCTCAATCAAAGTGTGCCCCTCGACGCTCGCACCCTGTTTTTTGACAGGGAAAGTCTTCCTGCTCAAACTGGGCCCCTGGCCCCCGGGTTACAACAACAACGGCTCCCGCTTGAAACCTCCTTACAATTTAGCCAGGACCCCCGCTCCCGCCCGAGACTTCCTCGCATTTTATTCAGGAGTCGCGCTCTCGCTTGGGACTTCCTCGCGCTCTCGCTGGAGATTTGCTTGCAACTTACTGAAAAATGGCCTGACGCTGGAATTTCCTGAGATTTGCCCAAGCGCCGCGCTCCCGACACCCAGGCACCCAGGAGTCGCGCCCGTTGTGGCCCCATGTGCGTGCCCTTCGTGGCCCCGCTGTCGCCATTTGTGCCCCCCTCACTGTCCTACGTGGCCCATTTGCTACCCTCAGTGGCCCCATAGTTGCCTTCTGTGGCCCCGCATGATCTGCACTTCGTGGCCCCCGATCGTTCGCGCTCTTCGTGGCCCCGTACGCATTCCCTTCGTGTCCCCGCTGTCGCCCTTCGTGGCCTACTTCGTGCCCTTCGTGGCCCTGCTGTCGTTCTCTCTCGCTCTCGCTTTCGCTCGTCGTCGCCGTCGTCGTCGTCGTCGACGTCGTCGTCGTCGTCGTCGTCGTCGACGGTCGTCGTCCGTCGTCGATCGACGGTCGACGGTCCGCGGCCGCCCCGCCGATCAGCGCTGCCGCTGGCCAGGCCGACGGTCCGCGGCCGCCCCGCCGCTTGCCGGGGCCCGGCCTGCAAGGAAGAAAGGTGAACCCCCCGAAAGGGGTTCGATCGAAGACGAAGGGGGCGGGTATCGAGGGTTTGGGAAATACGCGTTACTGGACACTCGAGCATATAAGGGCGAACGGTCTTAAAATGATTGTTGTTGTTGTTGCTGTTGCTGTTGCTGTTGCTGTTGTTGTTGTTGTTGTTGTTGTTGTTGTTGTTGTTGTTGTTGTTGTTGTTGTTGAATTCTCATTTTTGAAGAATAATTATTGTTGATCCCCCCACCGGTGCATACTGCTTTTTTCTCAATCAAAGTGTGCCCATCGACGCTCGCACCCTGTTTTTTGACAGGGAAAGTCTTCCTGCTCAAACTGGGCCCCTGGCTCCCGGGTTACAACAACAACAACGGCTCCCGCTTGAGACCCCCTTACAATTTAGTCAGGACCCCCGCTCCCGCCCGAGACTTCCTCGCACTGTATTCAGGAATCGCGCCTTCGCTTGGGACTTACTTACAATTTATCCAGGAATCGCTGTCACGGCGTTCTGGAGTCGCGCTCTCGCTGGAGACTTGCTTTGCAACTTGCTGAAGACTGGCCTTGCGTTGGAATTTCTTATAACTTCCCCTAGCGCCGCGCTCCCGACACCCAGGCACCCAGGAGTCGCGCCCATTGTGGCCCCATGTGCATGCCCTTCGTGGCCCCGCTATCGCCATTTGTGCCCCCCTCATTGTCCTACGTAGCCCACTTGCTACCCTCAGTGGCCCCATAGTTGCCTTTTGTGGCCCCGCATGATCTGCACTTCGTGGCCCCCGATCGTTCGCGCTTTTCGTGGCCCCGTACGCATTCCCTTCGTGTCCCCGCTGTCGCCCTTCGTGGCCTACTGCGTGCCCTTCGTGGCCCTGCTGTCGTTCTCTCTCGCTCTCGCTTTCGCTCGTCGTCGCCGTCGTCGTCGTCGTCGCCGTCGTCATCGACGTCGTCGTCGTCGTCGTCGTCGTCGTCGTCGTCGTCGTCGTCGGTCCCCTGTCCGTCCCTCTTGGGGTCGGGTCGACGGTCCGCGGCCGCCCCGCCGATCAGCGCTGCCGCTGGCCAGGCCGACGGTCCGCGGCCGCCCCGCCGCTTGCCAGGGCCCGGCCTGCAGCGAAGAAAGGTATACCCACCAAAAGGGGTTCGATCGAAGACGAAGACGGCGGGTATCGAGGGTTTGGGCAAGACGCGTTATTGGACACTCCAGCATAGAAGGGCGAACAGTCTGGAAATTAATGTTGTTGCTGCTGCTGTATCTTCTCATTCTTCGAAATACATCTACGAGAAAATAAAAACGCCCGTCCCCTCCTCCTCCTCCTCCTCCTCCTCCTCCTCCTCCTCCTCCCGGACCGGGCCCCATGACCCTCAGGAAACGGCTCGGGACGAGCTAAGTCGGTTCCTCCTCCTCCTCCTCCTCCTCGTCCTCGTCCTCCTCCGCCTCCTCCTCCTCCTCCTCTTCCTCCTCCTCCATCTCCTCCTCCTCCTCCTCCTCCTCCTCCTCCTCCTCCTCCTCCTCCTCCTCCTCCTCCTCCTCGCGCTTCACGACGCGACTGGGGACAGACATCTGCGTGGCCGGCCTGGTCTCCGGGCCGGAGGCCGGGCGTGGAGCCCGGGCTGCGCGCCGCGGGCGCCCCGTCGGAGCCCATCGTTATGGTGTCGTCGCGCGCGCGGGCGCGCGCCAGCGCGGGGCGCCCCCGCCCCCCGATGCGCGGAGCCGCTGCGGCGCTCTGCGCCTACGGCGCGCCTCGGGACGTGGGCGGAGGCGGAGAGAGGAGGAGGGGGTCCTGAGGAGGAGGAGGGAGGAGGAGGAGGGAGGAGGAGGAGGAGGAGGAGGAGGAGGAGGAGGAGGAGGAGGAGGAGGAGGAGGAGGAGGAGGAGGAGGGGGATCCTGAGGAGGAGCAGGAGGAGGAGGGGGCCTCGACTCGATCCCCTCGGTGTCTCGACTCGCTCCTCGGTCACTTCGACCTCGCCTCCAACCTCCTCCTCCCTCCTCCTCCTCCTCCCTCCTCCTCCTCCTCCTCCTCCTCCTCCTCCTCCTCCCCCTCCTCCTCCTCCTCGTCCTCCTCCTCCACCTCCTCCTCCTCCTCCTCCTCCTCCTCCTCCTCCTCCTCCTCCTCCTCCTCCTCCTCCTCATCATCATCCCATCACGACGGGAGGTCTTTCGTAATTTTTCGGCCTTTGGGGGGCCCTTGTCTGACCCCAGGGGCGTCCAAAAACGACGCATGATGAGAAGCCAGTTCCGGGGAAGGGGTCCAGGCCTCTGGGGATCGACGCTGTCAACAAAAGCACGACGTCGGGGGCCTGGGAAGCGCGCTCCACGACGCGCCAAGTAACAGCTCGCCAATGGCCTGGATCCGCCGCGGGAGAATCACGATCCATGACATAAGAGGAAGACACGGGCTTTTCCACCGTCTGCGAGCAGGCAATTCGCGAGCAGTGCAACGCGCTTGGTGAGGAGAGACGGTCTGGGCCGAGGCGGCTGTAGACGCAGGCCCCCTCGAGGGCCATGAAGAAATCACGACCCCAAATATCCGACGCGGCGGCTGGTTCTGGGCCGTTCTCGGCCTCCGTCGGGACCGTGAGGAAACGGCTCGGGGCGAAGCACCAGCACTGGGAAAATCCAGACATCCAGGGACCACGCCTCCACAAACATTGGAGCAGCCAGGTATCTGGGGCGGTTTTTTGTGCGCTATGCACAGCCTTCGGGGGGCCCTCGCCAGGCCGCAGGACCAAACCAACGACTTCGGACGAGAAACCGGTCCCGGGGACGGAGTCGAGACGTCTGGGGCTCGACGCCATGAAAAAAGCATGACGTCGGGGGTCTGGGGAGACGGCCTGGGCCGAGGCGGCTGCAGAAGCGGGAGGGCTTCGGACACACAAGGAAGTGGGAACGAAGCCCAGGATGATTCCCCCTGTCTTCCATATTTCGAAGAGGGGCTCGAATACAGAATTGCCGTACCCCAAAAATCACATTGAATGTTCGTAGATGTACACGCTCAGTGTTCGTCGATGTACAGCACATGGTACTGTTTCGTAGATTCGGCGAGACAGCAAGTTTGGGGTAAATTGATTATGTAGTCCGCCAATTCCGAACAGCTTGCCTGGATGTTCCGTTTTTTTCAGGGTGCTGGTCTTCGCCCTCGTCGTCCCCGTCCTTGTCCCCGCCGCAGCCCCCGTCCCCGCCGTCGCCCGCATCCCCGCCCTCGTCCCCGCCGTCGCCCTCGTCATCGTTGTTTTGTTGTCTTCTTATCGCCCTCGTTCGTCATTGTATTCGGTGACCTCTCTCGCCACCGCCGCCGCGGAAGCTCGGGTCGGGCGAAAGGGGGGGATAGCAAAACGGGGGTTTGAGAATCAGCTCGCGTAGCTGATTTTCCCGGCGCCTCCCGGCGCCGGAGGCGGCTGTGTATCAAGGAATGGGCCCCTCGGTGAGGCCGAAACCAGCTGCATACAGCAAATTTCGTAACCCCCCCTTTCCCAATCCCCCCCTGATGGTCCGCTACCGAAAATTTCCGGTAGCGCTCCGCAGAGATCGGTCGCTACCGAAATACCGAAATGTAGCGCCCAATACCGGTATCAGAGCGTTCTGAAATCCGCTACTTCAACGCCCTCAAACGAAGATCCGGTCGCTACCGAAATTCGGGGTGCGTCGAAATCGCTACCGAAATTTTTTCCGGTACCAGACCATCTGGGAATCCCCCCCTTTCGCCCGGCCCGATTGAAGCGCGCCCGGCACAAAATCAGGGCTGACATTTCTTGTTGGCGGCTCTGGGCCACTTAATCTGGGGTCCCTCGCCGGGCCTCTCTCCGGGACCTTCAAGAACCTATACTCGGGAGGACAGGCCGGCCCCGGGGGTTCACTATACCCATAGGGGGAAACCCAGACCCCCTCGAGTAATGAAAAAATCATGACGGGAGGTTTTTCCTAATTTTCGGCCTCCAGGGGCCCTCACCGGGCCTCGGGAGCGTCAAAAAACGACTCAGGATGCAAAGCCGGTCATGGGGAAAGGGTCGGGACCTCTGGGGGTCGACGTAATGAAAAAATCATTACGTCGGGGGTCTGGGAACGGTCAAGGGGGGAGAGAGAGGGTAAATAAAGGGGGGGGGCGCCCATCAAAGGAGAACCCTTTGTTCCCAGGCAGGGGATGGCCAGCCCTGCCTGGGCCCGCCGACGGGCCCCCCCCTCCCGAAACTCACCCCCGAAGCCGGCCCCGGGGAGAGGAGGGCCGAGACTTCCAGGAGCGCCGCATTGAACAAATCACGACATCGCACGTCTGGGGAAACAGCTCTTGGGAGGTCGTGGCCCTCCTCTGCGCTGTCGCCCTCGTCGTCGTGTTCGATGACCTCGGCGTCGTCGTGGCCCTCGTCGTCGTCCTCGCCCTCGTCGTCCTCGCCCTCCCAGTCCTCGCCTGGGGGAGGCGAAAGCGGAAGCCTGGTCCGAGGCAGCTCCCGGGAGGTCGTCGCCAGAATGTGTTAGGGCTATGATAAAGCCGATGAGAATGGGCCATTGAGCCATGTGCAGAGAAGGCCAGATTGAGCCCGGGATTGAGCCAGAATGTGCGCGGGATTGAGCCCGACCAGGCGGGACTATAATGCACCAGGTCAGGTCAGCTGCCGACCAAGGGTGCACAAATAAGGCTGGTAGATGCAAGGTGGATCTGACGGGATGAAGCTGGATTAAGCAGGACCGAACCAGACTGGGCCAGTGTTGCATCCTAAACGAGAA